GCTCTTTCTCGCTCTCAAATAAATAAATAAATAAATAATCTTTAAAAAAAAAAAAAACCAACCACCAGGAAATGTCATTTCATTCTAGGAGGTGGAAAACCAGTACTACCTGCCATAAATAGAATACAGTAGTAGGAATAAATCCAGTGACTCAGCAAGAACCAAGAAGAGACGCTATAAGCATTGGGTGAAAGGTTGTTGGGGACAGGTTCTTCACAGGGTCCTAGGGTACCACCCACCGATGACATCATAATTCAGAGGGGGAGAAATCCGGCAGTCACTTCCCATTATGGGCAGAATTGTGACCCTCCCCTCCAAATTCATATTTTGAAGTCCCAATCCCCAGTTCCCCAGAATGTGACTGTATTTGGAGCAAGGGCCTTTAAAGGGGTGATTAAGTTAGGGGCGCCTGGGTGGCCCAGTCCGTGAAGCACCTGTCTTTGACTCAGGTCATGATCCTGGGGTCCTGGGATCGAGACCTGCATGGGGGGGCAGTCCCTGCAGAGCAGGGGAGTCTGCTTTTTCTTCTCCCCCCTCTGCCCCCCCCATTCATTCTCTCTCTGGCTCTCCCTCTCATTCAAATACATAAGTAAAATCTTTTTTTAAAAGATTTTATTTATTTATTTGACACACAGAGAGAGACAGCTACAGAGGGAACACAAGCAGGGGGAGTGGGAGAGGGAGAAGCAGGCTTCCCGTGGAGCAGGGAGCCCAATATGGGGCTCCATCCCAGGACCCTGGGATCATGACCTGAGCTGAAGGCAGACGCTTAACCGGCTGAGCCACCCAGGTGCCCCAAATGAATAAATAAAATCTTAAAAAAAAAAGGTGATTAAGTTAAAATGAAGTCGTATGGGTGGCCCAGTGCGCTATGAGTGGTGTCCTCACAGGAAGAGATTGGCAACTAATGTAACATTGTGTGTCAACTATACTTCAATTTAACAAATAAGTAAATAAATATATTAAAATTTTAAAAAGAGGAGACTAGGACACAGACAGGGACAAAGAGAAGGCCATGTGAAGGCAAAAGGAGAAAATGGCCATCTACTAGCCAAGGAGAGAAGCCTCGGAGGAAACCAAACCTGCCAAGGCCTTGATCTTGGACTTCCAGCCTCCAGAACTGTGAGAAACCAAATTTCTGTGCTTTAACCACCCCATCTGGGCTTTTCTGTTACGGCACCTTGATCCAACTAATACAGTCCTTAACTCCACAGGCACAGTTAGCATTGCCGACCCCCCCCCCCCCTGGATGGGATGTACTGGGAAGGACACAATGTCCACCTACAGGGTATACTTCCCTTAACTGCAGGACTGGAATCTAATAATGAGGAAATCCAGAAACTGGGACTGCCCACGAGACATACCCATCCAGAATATAAAGAACTTAGGGCACCTGGGTAGCTCAGTAGGCGCTTAACCAACTGAGCCACCCAGGCGCCCCGAGGACATACTGCTTAGTGAAATAAGCCAGTTCACCAAGAGACTATATGATTCCACTTAAATGAGATATCTAAGAATCATGAAAACCATGAAAAATAAAGTGGAATGGTGGTTGCCAGGGGCTGGGGAAGGGGAAACGGGAGTTGTGGTTGATGGGCACGGTTTTAGATTTACAAGACAAAGACATCTGTTACACAACAATGTACACATAGTTAACACTATTATAACACAACAATGTGAATATAGTCAACACTATTAAAACTCTAGTTAACACCTAAAAATAGTTAAGAGGGTAAATTTGGTATTATATGATTTTTACTACAATTATAAAAAATACATATGTACATAAATGCATAATAAATAGGGACGTCTGGGTGGCTCAGTCAGTTAAGCGTCTGCCTTCAGCTCAGGTCATGATCCCAGGGTCCTGGGATCGAGTTCCGCATCGGGCTCCCTGCTCAGTGGGGAGCCTGCTTCTCCCTGTGCCCGCTTGTGCTCTGTCAAATAAGTAAATAAAATCTTTTGAAAAAATGCATAATAACTGAACATGATGAAATTCTTGGTGCCCTGCTTGCCCTGAAGGTTCTTGAAAAAGGAGATGGTCTGGGGCGCCTGGGTGGCTCAGTCGGTTAAGCGGCTGCCTTCGGCTCAGGTCATAACCCCAGGGTCCTGGGATCGAGTTCCGCATCGGGCTCCCTGCTCAGTGGGGAGCCTGCTTCTCCCTCTCCCTCTGCCTGCCTCTCCCTCTCCCTCTGCCTGCCTCTCTGCCTACTTGGTCTCTCTCTGTATCTCTCTGCCAAATAAATAAATAAAATCTTAAAAAAAAAAAAAAAGAAAAAGGAGATGGTCCCCTCACGTCTGCGGGGATCCAGCTACCCCACTCAGGTCTGTCTGAACATAAGACGAGAGGCCACATCCTGTAGTCTCCCCCATCCCTGCTTCCTCCTTCACTGCCCGATGCAGCCATTTTGAGCTTTTTGGTTTTTAAAAACAATTGCAAAAAACTCTCTTCTGGCACATTTTTTTAGGTGACGTCTAAAATGACCGAATTTTGATCATTATGAAATGCAAAATGTAGAATGTAAAATTGTGATGGCAATACATTCTTTGTGAAATGGATTGAGGGGATTTTCCTACTTTTCTAGTTAATTCCTATATCAGGAGATGCATGTCCCTTGTTGCTAGAGTGAGACTGGGTTGGATATTAATTCTACTCCATTTTTTTTTTTATATTAAGTGCTGAGTAACTGTTAAGTTTCCTGTGGTTGCTGTGACAAATGACTACAGACTCAGTGGCTTAAGACGACAGAAATTTCTTCCCCTCAGTTCTTGGGGCCAGAAGTCTGAAATTGGTATCACTGGGGTGAAATCAAGGTGTGGACAGGGCCCCCTCCTTCTGGAGGTGCTAGGAGAGCATCCGGTCTGCGCCTCTCCCAGCATCTGGTAGCTGACTGCTTTTTTTTTTAAATAAGATTTATTTATTTTTATTTGAGAGAGAGAGAGAGCGTGCATGCGAGCTCCGGAGCAGGAGGAGCAGAGGGAGAGGGAGAGAGAATCTCAAGCCGACTCCACACTGAGCGCAGAACCTGATGCGAGGCTCGATCTCTCCACCCTGAGATCACAACCTGAGCGGAAACCAAGAGTCTGAAACTTAACTGACTGCGCCACCCGGGTGCCCCTGATGGCTTTCCTTGGCTTGTGATCACCAGCTCTCCAACCTTCAAGGCCGGCACCTTCAAATCTTTCTCTGCTTGTCTTCATATCATCTTCTGTTTGTGTCAAATCTCCCTCTGCCTTCCTTCTATAGGAACACGTGTGATGCATTTAGAGCGCCCCCCCCCAGATAACCCAGAATAGTCTCCCCATTTTAAGATCCTTAATTTAATACCAGCTGCAAAGACCCTTTTCCAAATAAGGTAGTGTTCACGGATTTCAGAGTTTAGGACTGGGATATCTGTTAGGCAGCCATTTTCAGCCTACCATTTGGCATTGAACCATTCAGCAAGTATTTATTGAACACCTAATGGGTGCTAGGCATTTGGCTAGGCACTGAGAATAGAGCTATGCACAAGACAGAGATTCCCTAGCCTCCTGAAGCTGACAATCTAAGGCCGCGCTGTCCAGCATGGTAGTTCCTAGCCCTGTGTGGCTATTGAGCGCTTGAAATGTGACTGGTCCCACCTGAGATGTCAAATATAAAATACACACTGGATTTTGAATATTTTGCACACAAGCAAAAAGGATTGTTAAACAGTACAATAATTTTTGGATTTTTTAAAAGATTTTTTTGGGGGGGTGGGGCGCCTGGGTGGCTCAGTCGTTAAGTGTCAGCCTTCGGCTCGGGTCATGATCCCAGGGTCCTGGGATCCAGCCCCACATCGGGCTCCCTGCTCCGCGGGAAGCCTGCTTCTCCCTCTCCCTCTCCCCCTGCTTGTGTTCCCTCTCTCGCTGTGTCTCTCTCTGTCAAATAAATAAAATCTTTAAAAAAAAAGATTTTTTTTTTAAATTTTTAAGTAATCTCTACATCCAACGTGGTGCTCAAGCTCACAGCCCTGAGATCGAGTCGCGTGCTCCACCGACTGAGCCAGCCAGGTGCCTCTAATTTTTGGATGTTGATTACATGTTGAAGTGATAACATTTGGGACATATTGGGTTCAATCAGGTAGGCTATTAAAATTAATTTCACTTGTTTCTTTTTAGTTTTTTGTAACGGAGCTACTAAAATATTTAGAACTACATATGTAGCTTGCACTGTATTTCTGTTGGGCAACCTAAGGGGAGGGAGACTATGGACAAAAATTAACACAATAAATAAGTACATATTATACGGTATGTTAGGAAGTGATAATTTCTACGGAAAATAAAGTTCAGGGTAAGAGAGTATATTTGCTTCCTGTTGCTTCTATAACAAATTACCACAAACTTAGCAGGTCAAAAACCCCACAAATTTATTATCTTGCAGTTCTAAAGGTCAGAAGTTCAAAATAGCTCTTTGGGCCTAAAATCAAAGGCCGAGTCTTCCGGAAGTTCCAGGGGAAAATCCACTTTATTTTCAGCTTCTAGAGGGTGCCTCTACTTTGGCTCCCGGCCACATCACTCTGACCTCTGCTTGCAAAATCCCATCTCTTTCTCTGACTCCGGTCCTCCTGCCTCCCTCTTGTAAGGACTGTGGAGATTATATGGGGCCCCCAGGATGATCCCGAATAATCTCCCCATGTCAAGATCCTTAATTTAGTCACATACGTAAAGTCCCTTTGACCATGTAAGGTAACATATTCACAGGTTCTGGGGATTAGTAAGGGGCCGTCTTGGGGGAACATTATTCTGCCCACCACGAGGAGGGGCAAACCGGAGGTGGGTCTGTTCCTGGGAACCCCTCCTCCTCCCTGCACCTAAGCCACCAGGGGTCAGAAGTTAGCGCCGACCTGGTGCCTCCAGAAGGTTGCCTGAGGAGCCGGAGGGTTTGAGGCTCCTAGTCATCACTGGTCTCTGGGCACAGGGTCTCTTGCCATGGTTCCTCAAAGGGCAGGCTGACCCGTGGGGAGGGGCAGGAGCCTGGGTCAGAAAGGCAATGGGTCCGGCGCTCCCGTCCACCCGCAGTCCGGGGGGACGGTCACTTGCGCTCCGGCGTGGCCCTGTCTGTCCTGTCTGCGCAGCGTCCGCCTGCTGTGCCACTGGCGCAGGGAGGCGCGAGCCTCAGAGCTGAGCCCCCGGGGTGCGCGACCCGCGTCGGGCTGGTAGTGAGCGATGTGGTGCAGCGCCCCAAACCACGTGGTCAGGTAGTAGCCAGCTAGGGACAGGAAGGGGTGGTCAGTGCGGCTCTCGGGCGACCCTGGTCGCCCGAGGTCCCGCGGCCGTTTGTCCGCCTTCCCCCCTGCTGCGGGGCGAGGCTGTTGGGCCCTGGGGCGCCCCCTGTTGGGTCCCGGCGTTTCTGGGGTGGGGACTCACCTTCTCCCCGCAGCTCCTCCGGGTCCAACAGCTCCATGAGAAACTCCACGTCCAGCTGCGTCTCCCCAATGTGCGGACTCCAGATCAGTTCTTCCGTCAGCGCGGGCAGGAAGGCGTCGGCCCCCACGGGCTCTGGCGGAGCCGGAGGACAGGCCCTGAGGTGGATGGGGGGCGTGCAGGCACGTCCCTCCGATCCCCAGGACCACGGGCGCTGGCTGCCCTTCCACTTGTTGGGCATGCAAACGCCTCCTGCCAGACCCCCAGGCCCGCGTAGACGCCTCGCGCTAGAGCGTACCACCCTCTCCCCTCGACGTGCACGCAGGCGCCTCCCACCCGGCTCCCGCCACCCTCAAGCTACCGCACATCCAGGTGGACGCAGGTAAACCTCCTTTACCTTGGCCCTCGGCCTGAGCCAGGCCCGCGTAAACGTCACTGCACACCGCCAGCAGCAGCGCCACCTTGCGGCGTGGGGCGCAGGCGGCGTGGAGGTGCGCCAGGCGCGCGTGGATGCGGCTCCGCAGGGCGGGGGCGGGGCCCTGCCCCTCGAGCCCCGCCCCGCGGAGTCCCGGAGGCCCCGCCCCCGCCCGCAGGGCTATTTGGCGCTGCTGCAGTCGCCGCAGTTCCTGGGCTCGGAGCGTGCGGAGTCGTGTCCACAGGGCAGGCTTCAGGGGCGCCAGCACTGCCCGGCACAAGGCCGCCTCCACCGCGGCGCCTGCGAGGGGTTGGGGGTGGTGAGCGGAGGGCCGCCGGGCTGACCCCCTCCCCGTGTAGACACGGGTGTGAGCACGCGCGTGGGAGAGGGGGTGCGGCTGTCACACGTGTGAGAGACGGAGCAGCGGCGAACGGAACAGGAGTTACTATACGTGCGGAAAGGCGTGTGAGCGGCAAAGCAAACAGATGCGCAGGGATGGAGAGAAAGAAGCTGGGTGTGAACACACATGTAGGGCCAAAGGGTGGCGCACGAGAACCCGAGTGGGTTCGGGAGATGGCCATAAGTTCTCTCCCAGCCGTCCTTATTACCAAGATGGTCGTCCTTCTGGGGGGCCCCAGGCCCCCTGCTCTCCAAAACAGCCCTGACTTCGGGGTCCTTTGACAAGTGGTTCTGGAGGTCAGTGAGGAGGTGCCGCACGTCCTGGAGCAGCTCTGTGGCCGGGTCCCCAGGCCTGTGGGGGCCTCCGGCATTTGAGGTGAGGCGCGCCCTAAGGCTCTGGAACTGCCTGCCCACGTAGCTGCCCCGGGCCCTGGCCAGAGCCTGGATGTGATGGGTGAGCACATCCTCGGGGCCAGGGCTGTTCTCTTCATCTTTGTAGTCGCCCTCGTTCTCGAGCTCGTCCCCCTGCTCTTTCTCCTCCGCCAGGCTGGCCAGAGCCGGCCCAGGATGGTGCACTTCTGGGCTGAGTGCGCCTTCAACCCAGGAGACCCGGTGCGGGGCGGGGTTCCTGGGGGCTGGGCGTGAGGAGAGCGCTGGGCCCCACAGAACAGCAACAGTAGCTCCCCCGTCCCCGAGGGGCCCAGGGCCCTGTCCAGCCCAGCTCACCTGAACTGTGTCTTTCTGCAGTTTCTGGAGGTGTCTCCGGGGGGGTCTGCTCCAACCCCCGCCCTCTGTGGGTCTCCAGGTAGAGCTTGTTCACCATGGACAGCACCCTCTCTGAGATGTTGAGGTGGACGCTGCCAGTCTGTGGAGGAGGACCTGGGGACCAGAATAACCCAGGTGTCCCAGATGTCCAAGGAGCCAACCCTGCTTCCTTCAGGGCACCGGGGGACTTAATTCCCAGCCTCAATACTGGTTTGGCCCTCGGCTCCTTGTCACTCAGGCCCAGGAGGCGAGCCTCCCACAGCTTCCCTCACCCCCATTTTATTCTCCCTCAAACCTGGTAGTCTGGTCCCTGAAAGGCCGTCCTGCCGGACCAAGGAGCCTGGAAAGTGGCTTCCCCCTCCCTTAGGGAACCATCCCTCACCTGTGTGTTGGCCTCCAGGCCTTAGAGTGGGAGGGGGCAAGAGCAGTGTTCTGGGCAAAACATCCCTGAGAAAAGATAAGGGGGAGCTGCAGTGTGGGTGGGGTGTCTTAGGGATGGATCGCCCATGGCCCTTTCGATGGGTGACCTGTACCTGCTGGCCGATAGGAAGGCCAGGAGATGGGGCAGGTCCGGCATGCAGAGGTTCGAATATTCCAGAGACACACCTGGGGGTAGGGGGCAACAAGGGGCAAGGAAGAAAAGTTGAGGGGTGGCAGCCTCATCTTCCCTGGGACTCTCTCTTCCTCCATCCTGCAATTCCCCCCCTCCCCCCCAGAGTCCTTCAAGAGAGGGAAATTTCTACCCTTTGGAGTCCCCATCTTTTCCTGTGTCTTTATGTTTGCATCCCACTTACGGGATTGCCAAATAGCATTTGGTAATTAGCTTACCAAATAGCATTTGGGAGGTATTTTGGAAGCAAAGCTGATTAAATTTGCTGTGGGCTGGAATCTAGGGGGTAGGCTTCTCACCTCCAGGAAGCTTCTGGATCTGGTAGGTGTGGACTTCTCCTGGTGAAGCTCCTGTCCTCAACACCAGGACCTGGCTGGGGTCATGTCCTGTGACCAGGAAGCTCTGGGCAGGGACAGGGTGGAGACAAAGGTCATCTTTTTTTTTTTTTTTTTTTGAAGTTTTATTTAAGTAATCTCTACACGCAATGTGGGGCTCAAACTCATAATCCCGAGATCAAGAGTTGCCTGCTCTTTCAACTGAGCCAGCCAGGTACCCCGAGGCAAAGGTCATCTTGAAAGGGATTTTTGCAAATCTCTGTTACTTTTGCCTGCCCAGCATCCATTTCCCTTATTTTGGATTCCACACCCCAAACTTCCTTTAAGGAAACCCACTCCCTCCCTTTGTCGCTGCGGGTGGGACTAACTCCCTCCAAGCCCCAGGGATGGTCCCGTGACCTGATCTAGCCAATAGGATGACAGTACTTTCTCATCACTGTGATTGGTTCAGAGGTGGGCATGTGAATCAAGCCCAGCCAATGGAAATCTTCCACAAGATTTTTGCTGGAGGGGCGCCTGGGTGGCTCAGTCGGTTAAGTCTGCCTTTGGCTCAGGTCCTGATCCCAGGGTTCTGGGATCGAGCCTGGCATGGGGCTCCCTGCTCCGCGGGAAGCCTGCTTCTCCCTCTCCCACTCCCCCTGCTGGTGTTCCCTCTCTCGCTGTGTCTCTCTCTCTGTCAAATAAATCAATCAATCAATCAATCAATCAATCAATCTTAAAAAAAAAAAGATTTTTGCTGGAGCTCTTTGGTAGGAAGCCTCTTTTTACACTGGGATTGCTAGGCTTGTGGAATGTGGCCGCGAGCTGGGGACAGCCGTCTCTGCCACCACAGGGACAGAGCCCCCTTGTGAAGGAAGCTGTGTAGACCCGCTAGTTGCCTTATCCAAATCTATCCCTATTCCTTGCAGAATTGCAGCCTTGTTCTGCCATAATCTGCCCAGCTGGAGAAGACGGATGATGTGTAGGCAGTGTTTCTCACCTCTGGGTTTATAACTCCCAGGTGAGCTTTAAAAAAATATTGCGCCGGGGCCCCATATATTGTGAATCAATTGCGAAGGCTTTTGGTTTTCCTGGTGCAAATGGTGCTTCCTTTCTTTTCTTCCTCCTTCCTGGAGTGCACACATGTGCTTGGACCTGCGGTGGCCACTGGGCAACCGTGAGGGGAGTCCAAGGGAATGGCAGAGAACGTGGCCTTGATGTCACTAGGGCTGCTGGACCAGAGTCTGTGGCTGCCTTTCTGGATGTGTCAGAAAGATAAATGCCTGTTTACCTAAGCTACTGTAGAACGAGTGTTTGTTCCTTGGGTTTTCACAGTTGAAGCAAAGCCAAGAAATGGGATGAGGAGAAATTTTTAAGTTGTCTAATGCTCAGGGTCCGGACATTCCTGAAATTTCCTTCACTTCCGGATTTTTCAGTCTTTGGAATCGATAAGTAGCCTTTTTGGTTTGCCCGGTTTGTGGTGTTTGTCACTAGGAACCAGAGGAGTCCTGACTGATCCACAGGTGTCCTGGGGAGGGTCAGAGAAGGTCCCTGGCTGTGAGTACTCACCCCCGGTGGCCACAGCTCAAGAAGGGCTTCTGCATCCTGAGTATCCAGCTCTGGGATCTGCCACACCCCCCACGTCCTCCATAGGCGAAGGAGTGGCTCTGGGGTCCCAAGGACCCCTATGGGGGTCTCACCTGCTCCATTCACCTGTGGTGGAACCCGCCTGGGACATTCGGGGTCCAGGAGGCCAGAGGTTAGAGGTGGGCAGTTGGACACTGAGGTGAGGTCAAAGGTACAGGAAGGGGCAGCCCAGGGATGAAATGGGATTCAGGGTCTTCTGGGGGGGGGGTGGGCATTGGATGGAAGGGACTTCTGAAGCCAGGGGCAGGAATTGGAGACCCCAGCCCCAGCAGCCCTCACCTCTCCCCGACGCTGGGGCCTGCAGAGGCCTCATCCTCCGGCTGGGCCATCCTCAGGATGCGGGAGGCCAGCAAGCCATGGTTTGGCCTCTGGCAGGAAGGAAGATAAGGCTCAAGGTGGCTCCAACCCAGCGGTAACAGTCAACATATTTACAACCAATATAGCAGAAACCCTGACCAATGAGAATGGACCCAAGGCCCCTTGCTGTGGCAGGTGTTAATGCTTCAGTCCCCAGATGGTGGGGAGATCTGGGGATCCCAGGAGGGAGGCCAGTGGGTCTTGGCGGGGAGGGGGGAACGGGAGGACCCAGACTGACGGCTCTTTACCAAGTGGCACAGAAATATTTCAGCTTTTGACGACCAGTGCTGCCATAACACAGACATGGGCCCGTTGAATAACAGCTTTTGCCCAAACCCAGTGCCCGGACAGGTGCTCAGCCCACGGGAGACACACTCTGTCAATGTGACCTATCTTATACAACACCTTCCCCCTTCCCAGACCACAGGGGGGCCCCTCAAATATTCCCTCCCCCACATTTTATTAGAGACATTTTCAAACATCCAGAAAACCAGAATTTTACAGAGAACATCCTTAGACCCGCTACCTAGATGTTACTGCTGGCGTTTTCTTTTTTGCTCTATACCACATCTGTCCCTCTGTCCATCGGACCTCAACTCTTCAGCAGGTACGTAGTCCTAGCTAGCGTGGGTTATCACTCGAGGTGGGCATTTTTAAATATTTTCCCTGCGGCAGTGCTAGGAGTAGGACCCCTGGGTCCGTTCATCCGTGCACCTAACAAACACTTCGTAAGTACAGGCCCAGACTGGGTGCTCAGACTGGGTGCCCTGGGGAAGCTCAGACTGGGTGCCCTGGGGAAATGGTGGTGGACAGAACAGGCCCCTGCCCTCAGGAGGTGGCATAGGAGAGCGGTAACGAACAGCTAAAGAAATCAATCTGCCTGCTGACTAGAAACCCAGGGTTTTAGGAAGGGTGGGGACAGTGAGCAGGTGTCCTGTCCAGGGCAGAGCAGGAAGGAGGGGTGGGGGCAGAGAGGCTGATGCTCGCCTGGACGGCCGGTGGTGCTGGGCAGGGCGGGATGGGCCAGCAGCCTGACACCAAAGGGAGGCAGTTGGGGGTGACGATGCCAGCTGCTAGGTCCCTGGGGACCCCTACCTGTTCTCCGAAGGGAGGCCTGAAGTAGCAGGAAGTGAAAGTGTTCCTCAGAGAGAGAGGAAGCTGGGCGGGCAGGGGAAGAGGCGGGGCCGGGGGGATAATCTGAAATCGACCTTCCTCTCTTGCGGGGGCTCAGGCCTTAGGTGACTGGGCTTTGGAGGAAGGAGCTCTGGCAGTCTGGGAGTCCGGGGGTAAGAGCCGCGGGGCTCTCTCGCAGACCCCCGAGGCCCCTGTCAGTACCCTTGGCTGTCTCTCAGGAGAGCCTGGAGGGGTTCTGGTTCCTCTAGCCCCCTCCCTCCAGCTGCTTCTTTGTGTGCTCACGGAAAGGAACAGGGAGGCCGGATAGCTGATCGTTAGTTGTTTTTGTTTTTAATGTCTCCAGTAAGCAACATTATCTGCCCCTCCCGGCAGGGGAAGTGGGTCCCAAAGGGAAGGGGTCCAGCACCCACTTTGGGAGTGGGAGGCACAGACTGGGGAGGCCTTCAGGCTCGGCTCCCCCCAGGGGGTGTTATGTCTGGAGGGCCCACACTCCACCCAGGGTACATTAGACTTGGCCGACTTGGCCACAGGCCCCTAGGAGCAGTGGAGGGCAGGGGGAGGCATGGGGAGCCCTGGGGAGCCCTGGGGCCCCTGTCCAGAACAGTTAGGAGTTTAGTGGCAGCCCTGGCCCCGGAAGCAGTTAGAGATTAGGGGAGGTTGACCCGCACCCCGCGGCTGTTACAGCTGAGCTGCCCAGGCCTCGGCCCCTGGGTGCTGTTAGAGATTTGCCAGGGTCAGGGGGCTGGGACCCCAGTTTTGAGAGGGGGTAGTTAAGAGACTGGGGCAATGTTCTGAGCTCCCCAGACAAGGGCTGCAAGTTAGAGGGGGCCAGGGCTGGTGGCGGCTCTGCTGTCCCGGGAGGTGCAGCTGTCACTGGCCCTGCTCCGCCTCCATGGTCCTGGCCTCCTCCTTGGCAGGAGGTGCAGAATTCCCGGGGGAAGCTGAAGTGTTGGGGTTGGGGCTCCCCGACCCTGCCTGGGCATCAATGATGGCATGCTCCTTCCGGACGAGGTCCTCCAGCTCCTTCTGCAGGGGGCAAAGTTCACAGAGGTCAGAGGTCACCGTGCATCATGGGGTCAGAGGACCTGCGGGGCAGGGGTCTAGGGACAGGGCTCAGGGTGGGCCGAGGTGGCCCAGACTCCTTACCTTCCATCCGAGGAGGTCGGCGAGGGCCAGGCAGCCCTGGTCACAGTCACCCAGCCAGGCCACGTCCCTGTGGGTGGGAGAGTCAGAGCTCCCAGGCCTGTCCCAGGCCCCTTCCCGCCCTGCCCGGTCCGAGCGCCTTCCCACCTCGGCTGTGACCCTCGCAGGCCCAGGACTCACCTGTAGGCCTTCTTGGAGTCGAAGTCCATGCCTCCTCCAAGGCCCATCATCATCCCCAGGAAAGGGTCAGTCTGTGGGGGAGAGGGAAGCTCAGAACACAGACCCGGGAGCCCGATGGGCTGGGGTGTGTTCCCTGCTCTGTGACTTCGCTCAAGTGACCTGGCCTCCCTGAACCTCAGTTTCCTTATCTGTAGAGTGGGGGCCAGCACCAAACCGCTCCGAGCAGTGTGCTGTCAGCGGGTGAATACTTAGAAAGTGCTTAGGGGGCGCCTGGCTGGCTCTGTAGGTAGAGCATGTGACTCTTGATCTCAGGGTCATGAGTTCAAGCCCCATGTTGGGTGTGGAGCCTACTGAAAATGAAAAAAAAAAATACACCACAAAATAAAATAAAACAAATTTAAAAAAAAGGAAGTGCTTAGAACAGCGCCTGGCACATGGCACGTTTGGCCTGTTCGAGGAACCATCCCTGCTGAGGGATGGGGGAGCGAGACCACCTCAGGAAAAGAGCCGAAAGCAGGAGTGGGCGCATCCCAATGCTGGGCTGTGGGCCCTGGGTCCGGCCTGCCCTGACTCTTCACTTGAACAAAGCTAAGCGTTCCTGTCCTGGCTTCAGTCGCTTCAAGGTGGGGTTCTAGCCCTTGCTCAGAAGGGTCCCGAGTGACCCAGAGGCCTTGTAGAATCAGAGTCCAGGTGACCTGGAATCTGACCCCTCTGGATTCTAGAACTCCTGGTTCTGAGCTGGGGGTCCCAGTGTCCCAGGAAGCCAGTGAAAGGGAATGTGGGACCCGTGTGAGGAGGAGGAGGGAAAATCAGAGGGGGCCTCAAAAGCCAACTCACCTGCCCAGTCTTCTCCTTGTTGATGAGCAGGCGTGGGGTAGAGAGGGGTGCCCTGGGGGGTGGCGAGCTCAGTGGTGAGGACCTGTCCCGGCTCCGCCAGGCCCCAGCAGCACCCCTCCCAGTCCCACCCCCCAACCTACTTGCTGATGAGGGATGCAAAGGGCTGCACCTGCAGGGAGGTACCCATGATGATGAGGAGATCCACCTTCAAGAAGTCCTATGAAGGGAGGGCGGCCAGTGAGGGCTCCGGAGGCTCAGCAGGGGCTGGGCTGCCTCCCCCCACCCCCCATCTGCAGCCACCTGCCCCAGGGCCCGGCCCTGGCTGCCCCCGCGTCGGGGAGCACGGGGCCACTTACTGACTGCATGCAGGAGAAGAACCTTGCTGGGAGGTTCTCACCGAAGAACACGATGTCTGAGGCAGATGGACAGACAGACACAGGAAGAGAGGATGAAATGGGAGGCAGAGTCAGGGTCACAGAGAGAGAGAGAGAGAGAGAGAGCGGGCAGGAGCAGAAGGCAGACCCGAGGGCTGGGGTAGGAGCTGTGGAGCAGTGGGGACAGATCCGGGGCACTGGTCAGGGAGGGAGGGTGGCCCGAGGTGGGGTGGACGGGGCGTGTGGCCTTCTTGGGAAGGGGCTCATGGAGGGGTGGGGGTCCCAGCCCAAATCTATCTGGGTTGGTCCCTGGCCCCGAGGCTCACCAGGCTTCACCACGCTGTGACATTTCTCACACTTGGGAGTCACCTCGGAGAAGATCTTCTCTGGGCGTGGAGAAGGGGAAGGGAGAGAAGGAGGTAAGCGACTCTGCGCTGGGGTCTGGGGCTGCAGCCAGCCTTCATTGTCCACAAACACACCTCAGTCACTGGGGAGCCTCCTGGGGTGTTTGCCCTGCTCACCCTTCTCAGAGAGCTGTCCCCCGCACCTCCTCCCACCCCCCAGGATTCCAGGGGGGCTCCAGGCACCAGGCTACAGCTATGGACTTAAAGAATAAACACCAGCACAGACGATGAGCAGACGTTTGCCCTTTACAGGGTAACTGGATCCCACCAACCCCTGACCTGGGCAACAAAGCTCTCCTAGTGGAGGGGCACCTGGGTGGCTCAGTCGTTAAGCGTCTGCCTTCAGCTCGGGTCATGATCCCAGGGTCCTGGGATCGAGCCCCACACTGGGCTCCCTGTTCGGCAGGAGGCCTGCTTCTCCCTCTCCCACTCCCCCTGCTTGTGTTCCCTCTCTCGCTGTGTCTCTCTCTATCAAATAAATACATACATAAATAAATAAATCTTAAAAAAAAAAAAAAAAAAGCTCTCCTAGTGGGTCTTGGAGGGCAGCTCTATTTTATCCTGGGTGAGAGGCCTGGTGAGTCCCAGGCCTGGTGACAGAGAGAGGGAAGAATCTGCAGACGATCCTGGGATGGGGATACATCCTTAGGCCCAGCTGCTTCCCATCCTTGGGTTCTGGGACAGACACCTCCACACACACGCACCATCCTTAGGATAATCATGCTCCTTATCGTTTATTGATTAAGGAAGCTTGAAAAGCATTCTGTCACTTGCAACCAGCCCACAGAATCCTGGCTTGTTTGTTCAGCTCTTCATTCATTCCTTCAACAAACATTTACAGAGCCCCGTTGTTATGTCTGTAAGGGAACTGAAAACATTTCGGCATTGACAGCGTTTAGGATTTTGTGGGGGCTGCACGCGCTATTGCTGTCAGGGACACAGAAGGGGGTCGTGTTCATTGTCCATTCCCCCCGGCTGCGCGCACTCGAGCTATTCTGGAAGGCTTACCCCAGCGGCGGTCAGCCGGCATCTAGGCAGAAAGGCCACCCTCCAGCGGCCCCACCACAAATGCCACAGCTGTCCCTGTCTCACACGGACACCAGAGGCTTTGTGAAGTCAGCATAAAGAATGTCAGCAGTGGCTTGCCAGGGGTGATAGGCGGGGCTTCTGGGCGGCACAATGGATGTCAGACAAGATTCTCACTGGCATTCGAGAAATGTGGACTGGCTGACTTTCTCCCCCCTCTGTTCTGGACACCCTGCCCTTCCATGAACTGGGACGCTGACTTCAACAAGCCCCGCTGTCTGCACCCCTAGGGACAGCCGCCAGCCCTCGTCCCTAGCCAGGCCTGTGTCCAGGTTCACATCCCATGGAGTCTGACTCACAGGCCATTGGACCCTGTGCCGCTAGCTCGGCCCTGTCCAATATGGTGGTCACAGCCACGTGTGGCTTTTAACACTGAAATTACTAAAAATGATGTAAAATTCCAAATTCAGATCCTTGGTACCGTTGGTTACATCTGTGAGTGGCCGAGAGCCACATGCGGCAGTGGCCCCCATATGGGACAGGGCCGATCTGGATTCGAACGTCGTTGCGTTTGCCCACACAGGACCGTTGTGTAAGGTAAGGTCAGAGCCCTCGTGTAAGAGGGAGCTGGGGGCCTTGTGACCGCACAGAACAGACCATGTGCCCATCTGGTAGCTTCTATGCCAACACACGTCTCTGCATGGCCGAGCTGGGTGTGGAGCTTGCTTCCATCATAACCCAGCTGTGAGGTGGTGTTGGGAGCAACGAAACCCCGAGGCCGCCTCATCTCCGGGGGCTGCCGTCAGCTGCTGAAAGGAGCCACGGGGCAGGACGGAGTGGGTGCCCACCGCCTGGAGCCCCGGAGGAGCAGACAGTGGGCAGGAGGCCTGCCGTCGAGGATGACCTCCAGCGCCTCACCTTTCATCCAGCTGAGCGAGTACTCCCGTCGGCAGAGGGGGCTGATGCAGTGCGAGGTGTAGAAGGTGCCGTGGGCCTCCACCAGGTCCTCAGACTCCAGGCCCGCCACTCGTTCTAGCGTGTCTATGTTCTGCAGGGAGAGACGGAGGGAAGAGGCTCAGGAGTGAGACACAGCCCCCTCGGCGGCAGAAGGCAGAGCAGGGCGCTGCGAAGAGAAGCAAATGGGAGAGAGCGAGAAGGAAGGGAGGGAGAAGCAAGGGGCAGGATTTGCTCTATAAACTCGTCTGCTCATTCTCAGGGGGTCACCGAAGTGTGAAAGTCACAGATGGTTAAAGGTGGAGCCCAAACTCATACCACTGCCACCATCAGCCCAGATGGAGTGTTTCTGCATAGTCAGGCCACTTTGTTTCCACTTTTCAGAAAACTTGTTTTTTTTTGTTGGGACCACATGACGTTAGTGGCACCTGCCAGCAATTTGTTGGCATTGATGGACAAGCCTACAGTGGCTCTGCTGGAAATAGAGCGCCCTCAGATGTGGCATCCTTGTGCAGTACCCAACCTGCACAGCTGTCTGTGGCAGCCCTGGCTGAGCAGTCACAGAAATAAGTGAATCAGGAGGGTTTATTTGGTTTTAATCACTGTTTTCCTAATCAGCAGTCAGGTTTCTTACTGTGGTCTGTTTCACAGACGGCACATTAACTGGCATTCTTTTAAGACGCGAATATATTCCTCATTAAACCAGCAAGACTATTCTTCCCTTCCACATAGACATATGTGCTCTCTCATTTTTCTTAAAGCATGTAGCCCCCCCCGCCCCCCCGGCAGCAGCTTTTGTTTGCCCGTGAGGAGTGCTGCGGAGGCAGGTGCTGAAGGAGCCCCCAGCACGCGGGCAGATGCCACCCCGAGGCGGCCGGTCACGTGCAGCCCACAGCTGACCCAGCACAGCCTCCCTGAGACTCCAGGCACAACCAAAAGGGTTCTCTTTCAAGGGCAGATGGCCCCAACTGCTCTCCTCACTCCCTGCCAGCAATCAGCTTGTTCCCCAAACGTGCAGACAAGAGCCACTGTTCCCAGACTCTCTCTGCAGCTTTTCCCCTCCTCCCCCAGCATTAGCTTTGTCTTTGTTACTTGACTCAGTCTACAGCCCCCCTCACACGTGAGGAAGCAAGCAGTGTGCGTGCAAATAATTAAACAGCATGTAAAAGAACTACTGAGCCGCCTCTGTTTTTCCGAGGCCACTTCTGATAGCGAAACCACCAACGAGAAACGAATGCAGCTGTCCTGTATGTCCTGATATGGAAATGATCCCTCCAAGACGTTAAAAGGCACAGGAGAACAAAGGCTGTGGGAAAACTATACGTGAAGGTGTGTATTTGTTTGCCTGCGTATAGAATATTTTTAAAGGTGATACAAGGGGCACCTGGGTGCCTCATCGGTTAAGAGTCTGCCTTGGGCTCAGGTCATGATCCCGGGGTCCTGGGATGGAGCCCCGCATCAGGCTCCCTGCTCGGCGGGGACCCTGCCTCTCCCTCTCCCTCTGCCGCTCCCCCTGCTTGTGTGCTCTCTGTCTAATAAATAAATAAAATCTTAAAAAAAAAAAAAATAAAGGTGTTAGGAGAAGCCAACAACAGCAGTGGCGCCTAGGGAGGGAAGCTGAGGGCTGGGGAGTACGGCCCCAGGACGCCCTCTCCTAAAGGACAGGTGGTGATGAACACATGATGGTATGCTGCGAGTGACATGTGGCCTGGGTGTGTGGCAGCAAGCAGGGCACGGTGAGGATGGGCAGGGGCCACCCAGCTCCAGCCCAGTGCTCCCCCCGGGGACAGCCAGCTCTTCTCAATCTGCAGGAGGAGCCTGAAGTCCGGATTTTCAACTGAACTCTCTTGCTTTTTAAACCTTGGCTCCTTTTTTGTTTCAGAACACTGTGTCCCCCTGACGGACACAAAAGGCAACAGCAGTTTTGAAAAAGCATGAAGTTGGGGGCGCCTGGCTGGTTCACCGGGTAGAACAGAGCGTGTGACTCTTGAGCTCGAGGTTGGGAGTTTGAGTCCCACGTTGGATGGGGAGATTACTTAAAAATAAAATCTGGAAGGAAGGAAGGAAGGAAGGAAGGAAGGAAGGGCAGGAAGCTGCTGTGTGGGTGAGGATATGGAGGGGTCTTCCACACTGGAAGTTAAGTGAGAGAAAGCCAAGTCCAAGCCCTACGTGTAGGGTAAATGCCACGAATATATTTAAAAGCTACTTTGCTGCAGAGATCGCAGGGGCTTGAGTGAACAGGGCAACTGTTTTCATGTTTGAATGGAGACTTGTATCTGGGGATAAAAATAGCGATCATACCTAGCTCCAGAAGTGCAACATCATCACAATCCGGAAAGAGGCGAAGACAGTGTGTTCCAGAAAACTGGGTCAGTGACTCAAAAAGTGGCTGAGGTTGACGGAGAGGGTGACAAGTTTTAAGAAAACAAACAAAGCGGTCTCCTGAAACATGAGAGTGGAACATTTTTTTTTTTTTCCCCACGTTTGTCTGTTTTCTGTAATCGGCCGTTTTGCTGAGGTATGTGCTGTTAAAGCCATGCATTCCCTGCTGCCAGTAGGGGAGACACGCCTGCACCTTTCCCACGGGCCCCCGAACGTACTGCTGCCCGCTCTACCTTCCAAGCAGACGCAGAACCCGCACGCGTCTCCCGTCAGCGGCCCTCGCCCTGGGCCAGCCTCCATCCTCTGCTCCGAACGTCACGGCAGCCTCCTCCGTGGTCTCTGCACGCCCGAGTTGTCCCCGACATGCAGTCAGAGGGACCCCTGGGTCGGGTCACGTCCCACCCCGCTCAGAGCCCTCCCGTGGCTCCCCCTCATTCAGCCCTTGCTGTGGCCCCAACATCCCACACGGTCAGTCCCCGTCCCCTCCCTGAGCTCGCCTCCTCCGTTCTCTCCTCCGTGCTCTCGGATGCAGCTTCTCGAACATGCCAAATACAGTCTCACCTCAGGACCTTTGCCCCGGCTGTGCCCTTTGCCTGGAACCCACTCTCCCCCTAGATGATCCCGTGGCTCCCTCCGTCCCCTCCTAGAGGTCTTTGTCTAAAGGCACCCTCCTCAGTGAGGCCTTCCCTGATGCCTGTTGACAACAGCATCCCTCCCGCCGCCCCAACACTTCTATTTCCCTTTCCGGCTTAATTGTGCTCCACAGACCTCATCACACCCTGGCTGTGCTTCCCACCCGTCCTGTCCACGGTCTCTCTCCCCACAGCGGACCGTCAGCTCTAGGAGGGCAGGGGTACCGCCACCAGCAGGGCCTGACGCGGGCCCGGCACTCAGTAAGCACTTGTGACAGAAGATGATGACACGGGGCCGCGGCGCGGATTTCATGAAATCACGCACAAGGGAGCCCTTGGCTTGGAGTGAGCTGTGTGTGTCATGTCTGAGCCACGTCCCGTGGATAAAATGGACTCTGGGAAGAAAGGTCAGGTTTATCCTGAGCTGGGGCTCGGCCCGGAAGGAGGAGGCTGTCCTTTCTCAGGCCACCACCGCCAGGCCTAGGCAGCGGGCTCCTGCCCCCATTTGAGAAATCTGGACTTAAAAGAAATTCATCCTCCCCCTGGTGGCAGCTTCTCAGGCTGGCAGGCTCCAAATTGCCAGGTGCCGGAAGAAAATGTTAGAACGCCCGTTTATCTTCAAGTATTCTCTCTCTCTTTTATAATTTTGGGTTCTGAGGTATCATTTTTTTTTTAAGATTTATTTATTTATTTCTTTTAGAAGGAGAGAGAGAGAGAGAGAGAGTGAGCAAGCACACAGGAAGGGGAAGGGCAGAGGCAGAGGGAGAGAAAGTCTCAAACAGACTTCAGTCTGAGCGAGGAGCCTGACGTGGGGCTTGATCTCAAGACCCCGAGACCATGACCTGAGCCGAAATCAAGAGTGGGGCGCTCAACCGACTGAGCACCCAGGAGTGCCCTGAGGGGTCATTTATAACACGATATAACATGATATAACAGCTGTTACTGGCGCTGTGTAATTTCAGTACGTATTCATGTGCATTCATAAGACACACATTCCTAAATCAAAGGTAGGGGCGCCAGTTTTTACGGTGAGGGGTGCGAGACGCCCAAAATGTCTTGCTGGCTAGTCCAGAAGCCCACAACGTGAGCTGTCCTTGCCAGCGAGCTCCAGGGCAAGGCCCTTGGCTCAGCACCCGACACGGATGAGCCATGGCCCGTGTCACACGTGAGGCCTTTGTGCAGATTCTAAAAAGATGCCCCTTCCTTAAGACTCCCCGTCTGCCAGTTGGAAAGCGGTCACAGTGTGCTGATTTTGTCAGCTCCGGTCACGCGGTGGCCATGTGCTGAAAACCCTAACAGAACAGGAAATCTCCACTGCAAATGGTGGCCCCTCACACGTGAGGTCCCTTGCCCCCGCACTCAGGATGGCGCTGAGCGGAGCTCCCTGCCACGTCACCACACACCTGAAGGGCGAGGCTGTTCTGGCCTCTGCTTTACAGAAGGGGAAACTGAGGCCGAGGGGGGGGCAGTGCCCACGGCCGCCTACCTGCGTGTAGCAGCGCAGCAGTAGCTCCTTCTCCTTCAGCAGGCGGATGAAGTAGTGACAGATGGTCGGCTGGAGGGGAGCAAGAGGAACCACGCTGGTCGTGACAGAGCCCAGGGGCCATGCGTCGCCACCGGCCGGGAAGTGTTCCAGGCGCTCTGGCTGGTTTACCTCATGGAATCATCACTAGCCCCATTTCTCAGATGGGAAAACGGAGGCTCAAGGTCACAAGAACAGGAAATGAGGGACCAGGAGGTGGACCCAGGTGGCCTGGAGCCCAGGGCCTTCATGACCACGTGACACTTGTCTGAAGGGCCCCAGAGGAAGCCTTTCCCATGCCTGCTGCCCCCCAAGCTTTCCTGTGCCCCACCCCTGGCAAAAAAGAGCTCACCTTGAACTGCCCAGGATAGAGTTCCTTGGCAAGAGCAAAGAAGGGCTCTGGGTGTTTCTGTGGGAGAGAGAACCGGAGGGCTGGTGGGCACCCGGATGCCCCTGGTGAGCTGAGAGCTGGGGTCAGGCGATCCCCACCCCTCCCTCACCATTACAGACATTCCTGCCTGGGGAGCACATACCTTGAAGTAGCCAATCTCAAAGATGGCCTCCGGGTAGGGAAGATGGTACTTCTCTAGGTTGGCATAGAGGCCCGTGGATGGGGAGCGGAAGTCAGGGATGCCGGCGGCTGGGGGAGGTGGGGCGGGGAGCAATGGGTCAGGGACCTGGGGCCCATCTATACCCTATCAATCCCCCCCAGTCAAGGGCTCAGACATGGCTTCCCCCAGTCCCTGGATCGGGGTCCCCCAACATGACGGTGGCTACTGGGGGGGGGGAGGGGACGCACTTACACGTGGAGATCCCAGCTCCCACCAAGCAGATGACCCTGCGACCTGGAGGAGAGGAGTTTCTGCATCATATGACAGTGCGCTCAGCCCCAAAATAACAGCACCCATCACAGCCCCTGACGCCATTCTCAGTGCCAGGCCCCACGGCGGGCATTTCAGATGCATGAATGGTCTTCCCAATCATCTTGGGGGGGGTGTATTAACACCCCCACTTTACAGATGAGAAAACCAAGGCTCAGATAGAGGAAGGATCATGCAGTCAACTGGTGGCAGAGTCAACATGGAGACAAAGAATTTACTATTTCAAATTATACCAAATTAGACAGATTCGAGAAACGGCCACTTGGAGAGAAGTTTCCCCTCCTAACTAGATCTAGACAAAAACGTATGAGCTCTTAGAGAAAAGGCTGGGGGCAGCGGTGGGGGTCCCCCCCCAAGAAGAGCTACATGTTGTTGTAGAAATCTCTGGCTATGCCTCACCTTTTGGACGCAATCTTGAATGACCATCTATTTCTAGCATGTTCCTTCAGCATATTCCTTTCCTCTATAATCAAACACACATCAGCCACCGAAGTCTGATGAAGACCAAAGATTTGCCCCTCTTGGCCCTCATCCAGTGAACAGCAGGTAGATAAGAGGGCTTCAGATCCTGGCTCTCCTGCTCACCAGCGGGGCGGGGGAGGGGGTCTTAGTTCAGATCTCCCCTCTGGGCTTCCGCTTCCTGCTCTGTAAAATGGGCCTAATTACAGTACTGACTTCATGGGGCTGTCAAGAGAATGAATTCATTCGTGTAAAGCTGAGACCAGTGCCCGGCACTGGACGGACACTATAGATGTGTCTGCTATTATTTTTTGAGTCAGCTGCACTTCTTGAGACCCAGGACTTGTACGCGTATAAGCTCTTCACTCCGTTTGCTCCCGGCTTTCAGAAAAGAGGATGGGAGGGTGTGGTAGGAGTCCCATCATTTCCCAAGCACACGGGGCTGTGCAGAAATAGCCCTGTTGCCTGGTCAGCTGCTGGCGGGCAGCCCTGCCACGGGGGACCCTGGCATCTGCCTGTCAGCTGATGGTCAGGCACAAGTGTGAGGCCTGTGAACTGGGGACTTCTGGGGTATCCTGTGCAAGGGTGACGAAGCCCTCGGCTTTGTCTCGGGGCTGCCATCGGACCGGGCCCAGCTGGACCCAGCTGGGGCCATGTGGGAGGGAGCATGTGCTCTGGATTCAGGAGTCCTGACTGCCTCTTGCCAGATGTGTGACCCTGCATGGAGTCACAACCTCTCTGTGCCTCCGCTTCCTCCTCTGTCCAGATCACACCTATCAAGTGCCTAGCCCAGTGCCTGGCAAATGGGGAGGGCTCAGTTAACTGTTGTTCTTCGCTGTGCCCCTCATAGGCAGCCTCATGAGCCAACTGTCCGTCCCAAAACCCAAGTGCGGGAGGATGGAAGCAACCAGAGCTTTGCGGCCATTGCCTGTGCTGTCTTTGGGGGAGGAGATGTCTGCAGACAGCTGCCCGGCCCGGCCCGGGAGAGGGAGGCTCCAGGGCAGCAAGCCTGGACGCCTGAGCAGGGAGCCGGCAGCAGCTGGAGGACAGGGAAACGGGAGAAGACGTTCTCAACAAAAGGCTGTTCAGGGCCCTCAAAGGGTCGATTGTTCTAGTTGAGGACTGCCGAGGGCCCGGTGTCTCGGACTCTGGTGACCTCAACTTGCAGCAAGGAACAGAAATGACATGGTGACCTAGTAGAGAGGCACCTCCATAGCACCCCGAAACGCGCCTCCTGTAATAGTCACAGGGCACGCGGCTCTTCCGGGCCCTCTTCCGGGCATTTACGTCTCTACTCAGGTGTTGCACCCCTCAGGACCCTGTGGGGTAATTACTATTGGTATCACCTTCAGTCTGTCAAACATGTCTGGCCAATCAGCAGTGGAGGTGTGACCCACGCCTGGCCAATCAGAGACACGGTGATTGGTTTGCGGTAGGAGGGTGACCCAACCTGGTCCAATTGGGGCCCATCTCTGCCCTTTCGCTTGAACCCCTGGAAGGAGATACTAGGCTGGTGGAACTGACACTCGGTCCTGCCAGGAGTCCCTTCCACCTCAACACAGAAAAGCTGCGCCAGAGGGGGTTAAGATTCTTGACAACACGGAAGCCTCTGAATCCAGCCACGCTTAAGGCTGGATTTTAGTTACAGGGTCAATACTCCCTTTTTGGCCTAAGCCCGGTGGAGCTGGGTTTCTTGTTTTGGAAGCAAAAGGTGTGATGGTTCAAGTGGCGGCGGCTGAGAAGTCACTTGGCGCCTGGAGCCGGGCAAGTGGCGCAAGGCAGGGCGGGGACTCACAGCGCTCGCTCTGCATGTAGCGCGTCACCCCTTCCAGGGTCAGGTCGTCCAACAGACGCTCCTTCTGGGTGCCCAGGCCCAGTGTCTGGGAGAAGAAATTCCGCAGGAAGTCCACTGGCCAAAAAGCAGAGCGAGAACAGCAGGGTGGGCGTTCAGTTGGGGTGCACTGGGGCCCCGAGTGCCCCTGCCCCAGCCAGCCCTGGGATCCCCCACCCTCCCACAACCGGGGACCTCTAGGTTGCATTGCACCCAGTATACATACTCTGACTGTCACCCTCAGTGGGGGGTGAGGGGTAGCAACTACATCCCTGCCCTAAACCGCTCCTCCAGAACCCCACTCCCAAGGAAGATACTCACTCTCGGCTTCTCCGCCTGCAGCTCCTTCCTCAGTGTCTGAATCTGAGTCCTGGAAGGGGCGGGGGTGGGGTGACCAGGCCCCAGAAGTAGGGTTAGGCAGGGAGGAGAGGGGAGGGTGGCACCCGGGTCTGGGGGGAAAGGCTCCGGCTGGGAGTGGGCCCAAGGAAGAGAGGGGTGGTCCGGGGGCCAGTGTGCTTGGGCTCTGGGATGGGCTGCACGGGTTAGAAACCTGGTCCTGCTGCTCCCGAGGAGCGTAAGTTCTTTGCTGTTCTGAGTCTGATGCTCCTCATCTTGGAAACGGAGCTCAGAGGAGGTGGCACTCCCATCAGAGGGCTATCTGGGATGACACGCGTTAACCCAGGGGGTGCTCCGCGCAGCACCCAGTGGGGTAAGTGCTTGGGAAGTGCTGATATTGCCCGGTGTCCCGAGTCCTTGCCTTGCAGCCCTGCCTGTCCCCTGCGGCGTGGGCCCGCTGCCCTCCTCACCACAGCCACTCCTGTGAATGATGCCAGTGGAAACGCCTCTGTCCTCCCCCCGGGGCCCTCAGCGCTCCTGCCTGAAGCCCTGGACTCCACCTGTCCAGCCCCTCCGTGTCATTATCTAGCGTCATTATCTACTCCGCCACTCAGCCAGGCTCCCAGATGGCAGGTGCTAGACTCTGTCCTGGGCCCTCCCTACCTCCTCTCTCCACCTTTCCTGGGCTAGCTCCCTCATCTGTGCCAATGGTCTTGGCCTAGCCATTGATAATGCCACCTCCTAGTCCCCAGATCCGGGGTTCCCGCAGCCTCCTGGATGCCTCCTCCTAAGTGATTCCTGGCCTCCCTTTCCCACCACATTTCAAACTGGGCTTTAGCATCTCTCCTTAACCTGCCCCTCCTCCTAGGCCCCATCTCAGTGTGGCTTCTGTCCCCCAGTCTTTGTCTCCTTCTCCTGCCCTCCCATCATAATGTGTCCCCTCCCCAGGGCTCTACCTGGTCCAGCCTGTACTCCCTCTGGGGGCCCTGTCCTGGCCTCCTCCCTAAGCTCCCAGCCTCAGCCTCCACCTCTGATGGACTCTACTGCCCTCTGGGTGCTGGCCTGGCTGTGTCGGCCCACCCCGCCCTCCGCTCCACGCACCCCTCTTGCTGGCTTCTTCAGTCTAACCATCCAATTGCCAATAGGCCTGGAGTCCGCCATGACGTCAGCTCCAAGATGGTGGGATTTTTCATGTTTACCCATGGACGCCCAGCACCAAGAACAGGGTCTGGCTCCTGGCAGGATCTCCAGAACTAACCACCACTGAACGAATGGATACTTGCTGTGTGCTACACCAGGGCTGGGCACTGCAACAGACCTCACAAAAACACAATTCTGACTAACGCACTCTCCTGCCTAAAACCCCTCCAGTGACAGACTC